GTCCTGCTGCTGGCCGGCCGCCTGGCCGCCCAGTCCCTGGACACCTCGGGCCTGCGGCACGTGCAGCTGGCCTTCTTCCCGCCCGGCACGGTGCAGCCCCTGGAGCGGGGCGTGGTCCAGCAGGTGAAGGGCCACTACCGCCAGGCCCTGCTCTTCAAGGCCATGGCCGCGCTGGAGGGCCAGGACCCCGCGGGCCTGCAGCTGGGCCTCATGGAGGCGCTGCACTTCGTGGCGGCCGCCTGGCAGGCCGTGGAGCCCAGCCACATCGCCGCCTGCTTTCGCGAGGCCGGCTTCGGGGGCGGCCCCAACGCCACCATCACCACGGCGCTCAAGAGCGAAGGGGAGGAAGAGGAAGAAGAGGAGGAGGAGGAGGACGAGGACGAGGAGGAGGAAGAGGAGGAGGAGGACGGGGAGGCGGGGGAGGAGGAGGAGGAAGGCGAGGAGGAGGAGGAGGAGGAAGGGGGAGATGGGGAGGAGCTGGGGGAGGAGGAGGAGGAGGAGGAGGTGGAAGAGGAGGGGAACGTGGATGACAGTGAGGACGAGGAGGAGGAGGAGGACGAGGAGGAGGAGAGCTCCTCGGAGGGCTTGGAGGCCGAGGACTGGGCTCAGGGCGTCGTGGAAGCCAGCGGGAGCTTCGGGGGCTACGGTGCCCAGGAGGAGGCCCAGTGCCCCACCCTGCACTTCCTCGAAGGGGAGGAGGACTCGGACTCGGACAGCGAGGAAGAGGAGGATGAGGACGATGAGGACGAAGAGGACGAGGAGGAGGATGAGGATGGCGACGAGGTGCCCGTGCCCAGCTTTGGGGAGGCCATGGCTTACTTCGCCATGGTCAAGAGGTACCTGACCTCCTTCCCCATCGACGACCGCGTGCAGAGTCACATCCTCCACCTGGAGCACGACCTCATCCACGTGACCAGGAAGAACCACGCACGGCAGGCGGGAGTGAGGGGTCTGGGACATCCCAGCTGAGCCCCTGCCCCGGCAGCGCAGAGCCATTTCTGCAGCCCCAACTTGGATGAGCGGCACCAGCCCAGGGCACAGGACTCCTGGGCAGTCGCTGTGGGTGGAGCCAGAGCGGGGTGCCCCAGACCCCCGAGTCCCCCCAGCCCCGGCCCCAGACAGGCCCAGTGACCTCGGTAGGGCCAGGGTCAGCCTCACTGCCTGCTTATTGCCTCTATCTCAGAATCCTCTTTCCTCCCCATTTGCCCCTGGGTTTGGGGGTCCAGGCGGGGAGGGCGGGGAGCTGTCCGGTGCTAGCACACCTTCTGTCCCTCAGTGGACGCGGCCAGCGCCCAGCCAGGGATGGGCCCTGGCAGCTCCCGGCCGGAGAGTGCCTCTCCCCTCTGCCAGCCGCACCAGGTTGGTGGGGGGGACCCCAAAGCCATTCTGGGAAGGGCTCCAGAGGAACGTCCAGCCTAGGCTGGCAGCCCCCCCCGCCCCTGCCCCCGGGCCACCTCGAGAAGCACAGTCTAACCGCAGGCTCCGAGCCTGCCCTTTGCCTGCTTCCCCGCCCCCAGCCCCCGTTCCCTCTGGCCCAGTCCATGTTTCTTTGGCTCTTGGTTTTCTTTCCAGATTGGGGGTTCCCGAGAGGGCTTCCAGGGGAGTGATAATGGGTGCTTCCCTCGTGGGCAGCTGCAGGCCCCATGCCTCTCCTCCCTCTCTCGCAGGGCCCGATCCTGGGCGGGGGACCTGGGGCTGGGCCCAGAGTCCAGCCGTCCAGCTGCCCCCTAACCAGTTTGAATCAATTCAATAAATCTGTCCATCCCCCTTTGGTGGGGGTGAACGTTTTAACAGCCAAGGGTGCATCCTTCCTGGGTCTGGGCTTGCGTCTGTCTTGGGGACACATTCCTTCCTGGTTCCCTTTGTTCCCTGCTCCCCAGCGCACGGAAGGAAGCGAGTGTTAGAGTGAGGTCGTGCCGAAGTGTTCTTTAGGTCTGGGCAGGAAGGGCTCCTGTGCCCCTGCCCGGGCATTGGCTTAGGACCAGAGGGAGGGAGCTAACAGCCCCTGAAGTCCAGATCCAAGGCCATCTGGGACCTACTGAAGAGCGTTTCAGGGGGTGGGGCCAGAGGCCAGGACAGAAGGGTGTTGGGTGCAGCTCCTGTGGTCCAGATACGAGTTTGGAGAGGCCTGTGGGACACTTTGTCGTTTACCCTCGCTGAGTCCACAAAGCCTTTCACTGCTTGGCATCTTCAGGCCGGGTGCCCTGCCTCGCAAACAATGGCAGGAGGAGGCAGCGGTGCCAGTGCACCTTGGAGAGCATGTGTTGGCCACTCCCAGTGCTGTGCCCCTCGTCCAAAGGTTAGGCTGGGCCTCCACTGATCTACCCTATTTTCTGCTTCCCGGGCCCAGCCCCTCCCGCCCTGGCCGGCCTTCTCTGAGGCCTTCAGGCTCTAACAGTTCTAGCTAGAGGAAGGCCCGAGTTTGAACAGGGCCAGTAGTGCTGGGCCCCAAACCGGTTCTCCCAGCTCCACTTGGGCTGGCCTGACAAGCTGTGTTTCCCTCCCCCCTCCATGGTTCCTCCTCTCCGCACTCTGGAATGTTAAGGGAAATTGGGGGAAAGATGTCAAAATCCTCTTGGCCGATGGGTTCCCTGGGTGTGGCCCCTTCTCCAAAGATCAGGCCCTTGGGTATGACTTTTAAGCTGGAAGGCTTCAAACGTCCCAGAGTTGGCTTTATGCCCCTCAGGCACTGGAATTGGCTTCATGCCCCTCAGGCACTCAGGGATCTCCAGACCTGGAAGGATTCTGAAGAAAGCGAGGAGTGGGTATTCCCTTCACACAACCCTCATTCCCCCACCTGTGTCCTGGAGGAGAGGATCACACAACCCTTAAGGTTTGAGAAAGTGGGAGCAATGGCTTCCATGACCCTGGCCCACTCACTCCCTGTCCTTCACCTCATATGCCAGTGGGGCAAGTCATGCCCATGTGACTCCTGTCAATAAGAACACAGCTTTTGCTGGAACCCAGATCACCTCATTAATGACGACACCAGCGCTAGGGTTCTTGCTGTGTGCTGCGCAAAGCACTTCTTTCTTATTTATCACTCTTATTTTGATATTTGGATCACATCCTGTGGTGCTCAAGGGTCACTCTTGGCAGTGCTCAGGGGACCATGCGGTGCCAGGGATCAAACCTGGGTGTCCTGCATGCAATAGCACATTCTCCAGCCCATTCAGTTCACTCCCCAGCCCTGCAGTTCAGATGCACATAATGACCTCATGGGGCTGGTGAAACCATGAGAAAACAGGCACAGATGTGCCCAGCAGTGTGCCTGATTCCTCACAAGTGGTCTGGGGAAAGCAATCTCTCTTCTGGGGCTGACCTCAGATGTGCCTCTTCACTAAGGAAAGATGCAAATTCCGAACTCTGAAAGGTAGCACAGGAACAGGAACTGATGACTGAAAAAGAAAATTTCCTCCCCAGTTTTTGTACCATATCCATCTCTTCTCAGAGGCTTCTGACCTCTTGGAGCTTGGGGATCCTTCTGGTGGTGTTTGGGCGGCTGCGGTGTCAGCGATCTAACCTGGGCTCCTGCACGCATAGCACACACTCAAGCCTGGTCACCTACCTATCCAGTCCCTAAACAGCAAATCAATTTGTGAGTTTTACTTTTTATTTTTTTTGGTTTGCTTTTTTTTCTTAGTTTCTGAGTCACACCCAGTGGTTCTGAGAGTTCATTCCTGATTCTGAGCTCAGGATCATTCTTGGGGGGGGGGGGGGGGGCGGCTCAAAGGACCATCTGTGGTGCCAAGGATCAAACCAGTGTCAGCTGCATGCAAGGCAAGTACCCACTGTTCTCTCTCTGACCCTGAAATCCATTTTTGTTTTGTTTGGGGTCCACACGTGGCAGTGCTCAGGGGTTACTGCTGACTTGCACCCAAGGATAACTCCTGGCAGGGTTCAGGGGTCCATGTAGGGTGCTGGGGATCGACCCAGCAAGTCAAGCACCCTATCTGCTGTGGCATCTCTCTGTCCCTGAAATCAGTTTTTGTTTTTTGTTTTTTTTTGCTTTTTGGGTCACACCCAGCAATGCTCCGGGGTTACTCCTGGCTTTGCACTCAGGAATTACTCCTGGCGGTGCTTGGGGGACCATATGGGATGCTGGGGATTGAACCTGGGTCGGCCGCATGCAAGGCAAACGCCCTACCTGCTGTGCTATTGCTCCGGCCCTGAAAACAGTTTTTAACATAGGAAGAATAGCTCTTGGGAGGGAGAAGAGGGATGAGAAAGTATCTAAAGGAACTCTTGCAGCTTCTACTACCAGTTTCCATCCCTCTGATCCCTGTACAGCTGTAGGTCGTCTGTAAATACCTTCCTGTTTCCCTTTCTACGATGTCACTGCGACAAGCTGTTATTCACATTTCACGTTTAAGGCGCTTGGGTAGCTAAGGACCTACTCAAGACCTTGACCTTGACTCTGGTGTTCTCCCCGGCAGTCTGGGTTACCTGGTAATGGCCCCCCTACCTGCCCCCCAGGACAGTGCTGGGCTGTGGGTGGAGGGCAAGGCGTGGCAATAGGTCTGGGGATTGCAGGGAGGCCTGGTCTCAGTCTACCCCGCAGTCCAGATGGGAAGCAGCAGATGGTAAAAATGGACTCCTAGAGAAAGTTTATCAACATCGGGGTGCGGCCTTCATTGGGGACTGATGACTTAAAGGGCCCGGGAGAGGGGTCCGAGACCTTGGGGGTGCTGGTGCAAGGGGTCCTCGCTGGCCCGAGCAGGCCCGAGAGTGGACCCTTGACTGCTCAGCCCGTGACACGGGCCGGAGGAGTTTTCTTCTTGGAAAGCGGGGAAGACAAGTCCACCTAGGCGGCTCCATAGCCGGGTTCCGACGAGGCCGTGGAAGGAAAACTACAACTCCCAGAAGCCTCCGCTCTCTGGAGACGCCCGCCGTCGCCATGGTAACAGAAAACAACATGGCCGTCTCCAGCTAGGACGCAGTTCTCGGGATCAGCGCCGGGAGCCGGTCTGCACGCCGGGGGCGGTGACCAAGCAGGAAGCGCTCGAGGGGTCGTGCGGCCGAGGCTGGACGCTGCATCGGGGGAACGGCCTGCGGGGGCATTCATGGCGGGCAGCGTGGACGAGGAGGCGCTGCACCAGCTGTACCTGTGGGTCGACAACATCCCTCTGTCCAGGCCCAAGCGAAATCTTTCCCGGGACTTCAGCGACGGAGGTGTGCGCTCCTGGGGGTGTGCGTGTGCCTGTGTGTGTGTGTGCCCCTGTGTGACTGCGCGTCCTCCCGGGTAGGTGTGTACTTGTGTGTTTGTATCCGTGCGGACGGTTTCTTAGGGGGTGTGTCGCACTGGGCTGTAGGCGTGCCGTGTGTTTTCTGTCTGCACCTGTGGGCTCACGAGCATGTGTCTGTCCACCTAGATGTGTCCACCCGGTCTCTCCTTTACGCAGGCGGTGTGTGCGTGAGTCTCACGCCCACTGCCACCCGAATGACTGACCTGGCTCGCTGTGTGCCTTTGAGTGTCTCTGTGTGTGCAAGCTTATTGCTGTATTTAGCATTGTGGGAATCATGCGTGTGTTAGCGTGTTCTTTCTTGTACACATGTTGTGGGATATTGTGTGACCTTGTGTGCTTTCCCTGTGCTTGTCTAGGTGCCGGTGTGTCTCCTGAGATTTAGTGACCAAACTATGCTTTTCTGTGTGTGAATATTGTTTATGTTGGATTCTTTCTGTGGTGTGTGTGTGTGTGTGTGTGTGGGTGTGTGGGTGGGTGGATGTGGGGAGGGTGACCGTCTCTTGGAACCCCAATGTTAGAAATGATCGTCAACTTCTGTATTGTTTTCTGTGTGTGTGTACATGTGCTATGGTGATCTCTGTGTCTCTAAGCATGTATGTGTCCTGTGTTGACATAGTCTGTCCTATGTTTATACGTATAGAAGGGAGTATATTGTATGACTGTTTATGTGAGTTTGTGGCTGTCTCCTGGGACTTTGGCGGTGGTGTGTGTATGTGTGTATCCATGTGAGTTCCTAGGTGAGGCCCTGGGCTCCGGAAGGGCGTCGGGGAGATTCCTGCTCTGCTAGAGGCCCACAGGGCTTCATTTTCTGATGTGCTGAGCTAGTAGGGGAGGAATGCAGCTCCTCTGGGGGTTGCTAAACACTTTCTTTCCAGCCCATCGCTGATCTTGCCTTCTTGCCCACCCCTCCTACCACTCTTGTCTTCACCCCTCATCATCCTTTCCCTTCCTCCTCTCTGCCTTTCCACTGAACCCCACCACTCTGCCCCACCGGATCCCTCCACCCCATCCATTTCTTCTCCCTCTCCTTTCTCCCCACTTTTTATGTCTGCCGCCACAGTCCTGGTCGCAGAGGTGATCAAGTTTTACTTCCCCAAGATGGTGGAGATGCACAATTATGTGCCTGCCAACTCCCTTCAGCAGAAACTCAGCAACTGGGGGCACCTGAACAGGTAACAGAATCCTTGGGTGTACCAGCAGACTCTCCAGCCTGCGCGGGGAGTCCCAGGCCTCCGTCTTCTGGGTTACAGGGTGGGGAGGATAACACGGACAGAAGCTGGCTCTGGGGTCCAGGGAGCCTTATATGGGGGAGGCAAGCTCTTCCTTCCCCCCGGGGCTGTTTACTCTTTCTACCCCCCACTGCAGCCATCATCCCTCCAGGGCCCCACCTGTGTCTGCCCCTGCAGGAAGGTGCTGAACAAACTCAACTTCTCCGTCCCAGACGACGTGATGCGCAAGATCGCTCAGTGCGCGCCTGGCGTGGTGGAGCTGGTGCTCATCCCCCTGAGGCAGCGCCTGGAGGAACGGCAGAAGCGCAGGAAGCTGGGAGCTGGCTCTTTACAGGTGCCCCCTGCTCTGGGGGTGCATAGGGGAGCAGGGGGCCTGGCTAAAGTGAGGGGGTGGGGGTTGCAGAGAGGACACAGGGTTCCTTGGGGAATGGCTGGACCTCAGTTCACAGTGGACCCCCGTGGTTCTTCCAGGAGCTGGCCGCTCCCCAGGATGGCACTGGCTACATGGATGTGGGTAAAGTGACCTTTCTCTTCTTCTCAGGAGGAGTTTTTCTTTCTTTTTTTTTCCTGTGTTCTTCTTTCTTTATGTGGGGGTGAGCGAGAAAGGGAGTGGGGGAGAAAGGAGAACAGGATGCCAGCACCGTTACTCTTCCACTTGTCTTGACTCAGGTTTCCCCCAGAAGGCCCCAGGGGAAGGTGCCCTGGATCCCAAGGGAGGGGCGCCGCCCAGGTAAGACAGTGAAGACTTCGGGATCTCCCTGGGCCTGGTCCTCTCCCTATGCAGGGCGGGAGGGGGAGTGGGGCAAGTGGTACCTGGACAGGTAGGATAAGCAGGAGGCAGGGGAGAGGGAGGGATGCCGGAGAGACACTGGAAAAGGTAAAAAATGAGGGGCCTGGGTAGGAGAGATAGGGCGTTTGCCTTGCACGAGGTCCATCCAGGTGTGATCCCCGGTGTGCCATGTGGTCCCCTGAAACCCTCCACGAGTGATTCCTGATCCCTGAATCCAGAGCCAGGAGCACCTGAGCACCACTGGGTGTGACCCAAACACACACACACACACACACACACACACACATACAGGCTGAAGAGATAGAGCACCAGGTTAGGCATTTGCCTTGCATGTAGCTAACCCAGGTTCAATCTCCGGCATCCCATATGGTGCTCTGAGCACCAGGAGTGATTTCTGAGTGCACAGCCATACTGAGCACTGGTGGTGGGTGTGGCCCCCAAACTAAAAAATGTATGGGAGAGGCCCAGCCAGGCTTCAACTAAACTGTTTCCCACCTCAGGGGGGTCCGGCAGCCACCCCCCCGACCTCCAGGCTATAGCCAGGCTCTGCAGGGCGACCCGAGCTTCGTTCTTCAGATCGCAGAAAAGGAGCAGGAGTTGTTGGCCTCGCAGGAGACTGTGCAGGTGAGGGTCACCTGAGCAGGTGGGTTGGTGGGGGGGGTAGGGGGGGTAGGGGAGGTAGGGGGGGTGGGGGGGCTTGGGCTCTGAGTGGCGGGGCAGAGAGACAGACAGGCACCAGGCTTGACCTCTGTGCCCTGTGGCTCAGGTCTTGCAGATGAAGGTCAGGCGCTTGGAGCACCTCCTCCAGCTCAAGAATGTGCGCATTGATGACCTCTCGAGGCGGCTCCAGCAGGCAGAGCGGAAGCAGCGGTGAGCGGCCAGTGGCAGCGCCAGGGAGTACCCGCAAGCACCCAGAGGCTGCGACCAGCTCCACCTATGCACCCACCTAGTGACAGAAGGAACGGGCGGGCGGAGCCAGCGCCTACAATGAGCTTGGGAGTGAGCCCCCTCCCTCCTTTGGGGTGGACCCCAGACTGAGCCACCTCCTTCCACTCCATCCGGGTCAGGAGAATGAATCATTTTCCAGAACCCAGAAGCCACGTGCAGAGACCTGGCCTACCCCCCAAAGCTGTGTCCCACCCCAGCAGCTCTTGGTGCTCCCTGTGGTGGGCCTTGAGAAGGGTGTCCTGAGATCAGATCCTGCCCCTAGTCCTGGGTCCCCTGGCAGTGCTGGGGATGGTGCTAGCTCCCACTCAAGATAGAGCTACACATTCTGCACCGTTGGAGATGCTGCCCCAGGTGGCCAGTGAGCCTCTCTGTCCCTCCTGGGCACTCACCTGGGACCCTGCTGAAGGCTGGAAAGTGCATCAGCTAGAGGGGAAGGGGTGAGGAGGGGCTCGCCAGGCACTGTAGAGACTCTCGCTGTGCCTGTTCAGCCACCTGCCCCTTCTGCCCTGTACTGCTGAGGCTACTTGGGGAACATGGAACTGGCCATTAAAGTTGTGCTCTTTCTCACTCCCGCCTTCTCTGTCTCGATCTGGAGGGCAGCTGGATCCTGAGTAAAAGCAGATCCCACTTTGTGGGTAGCTGGGCCTTAGGTAGCCACTGCTAGGTCGGTTGAGAATAGCAGGAGTCAGACCTTGTACACGAGCATGGCCTGACTTCTGAAGATTTGTTTCCTTTTTCTTTTTCTTTTTCTTTTCTTTTCTTTTTTGTTTTTTTGGTGTGGGGTGGCACATCTGGCGATGCTCAGAATTTACTCCTGGCTTTGCACTCAGGGATCACTCCTGGTGTGGTTGGGGGGTCATATGGGATGCCAGATATTGAACCTAGGTTGGCCACATGCAAGGCATTGTCTCATCTGCTGTATTATCTCTCGGACCCAGGCTTCAGATTCTTGCCGTACTCCCCAATCCTGCCATGTACGGATCTCTAAATGTGCCCTTTGGAGTTGAGAGACAGTACAGGGATTTAGGTGCTTGCCTTGCATACAGCTAACCTAGTTCACTCTGGGGCACTGCACATCCCCAGAGAACTATTAGCAACCCCCGAGTACAGAAGTGGCCCATAAATACTGCTGGGTGTGGCCAACCCCCCCAACAACAACAAAGCCACCAACACCCCCCCAACTGCCATCTCTATCATTCCCAATCCCGCCCACAGACTAATACCAATTTTTAAAAAAATTTTATTTTTGGGACACACCTGCAAGTGCTCGGGGCTTACTCCTGCTTCTGCACTCAGGAATCACTCTTCGCAGCTTTGGGGGGAACATTATGTGGTGCTAGGGATAGGACCTGGCTTGGCCTCATGCAAGGCAAGCGCCCTATCTGCTGATCACTCCAGTCTTCTGATGCAAGTTTGACCTCTATCCCTGACCAAGACACCATGGCCATGATGTGACTTAAGTCTTATTGTTAACTAATATTACACATTCAAAAATCCTGAGATCATGTAATTCAATTTCTAGGCAATTGCCAGGGGAAATTTAAGTTCCTGTATTCTTTGTCCTGGAACACATGTATACAGCAATGTTCATCGCGCCAGAATTCCTTATAAGAGCAAAATCTGAAAAGTACCTGTGTTGGTCATCTGTTATTGTATAACGAACTACCGCAGACTTAGCTGGATAACATTAGCACACATGGTGCCTGAGAGTATAAAGGGTAAGATACTGGCATGAATTTGTGGCCATAACCTAGATTCAAATTCTAGCACCACATCTGGTCCCCTGAGCACCAGGTATGGCCTCTGAGCACCACTGAATGTGGCTGCCCTTCCAAACAGAAAACAAAAGCAAATGATCATCTTATGCTTTCTGCAAGTCAAAAGTTCCATCCTAATTCTGCTGGGTCCTCTGCTTCAGGGTGTCTCACAAGGCTGTTATCAAAGCGCTTGGCCAGACTTGTGGTCTCATCTGAATGAGTGAGTGTGCATGGGTTCACTTCCAAGTTGATTTGGTTAACAGAATTCCACTCCTTGAGGCCTATTGGGCCGAGGGCTTCTGATGGGGCTGCTTATGGGGGCTGTCTTATTTCCTTTCTGTATCGCTATCTCCAGGGAGAGGGGCTTACTTCAGCAAGAGAGAGCTCAGTGACTGGAGGCCCAGATTCAATGCCAGTATTACATGACCCACAGATCACCAGTGGGTATAACCCCCACCTCCAGCACAGTCCTTCAGCATTGCCACAGGTGGCAACCCAGTCCTCCAGAGTATAACAAGAGAGTTAACAGGTGGAAGTTAAGTATCTGATAGCAAGATGTAATTCTCTCTCTCTCTCTCTCTCTCTCTCTCTCTCTCTCTCTCTGGCTTCTGGGCCACACTCAGTGGTGCTCAGGGATCACTCCTGGCTGGCTTGGGGGAGACTATGGGATCGAACCTGGGCTAGCCGTGTGCAAGACAGGAAGCTCACCTGCTGTCCTATCTCTCTGGTCCCTACAGTCTCTTAATCATAGACATGCCAACCACAGCATTTTATCATAGTTTATGTATTAGAAGTAAGTAGGTTCAGGCCACATTCAGGATTAGGTACAGGGGTGTGAATACCACTAGGTAGCTGTTAGTGAATCTGGCTATGAAGAATAAAAAAGAAGTACAAGGATACTGACTAGGATTGTGGCTACCTCTGGGAGGAAGCAGAAATCACAGATGAAAGCACTACTTCCGTAGATGTATTTGCCAGGCTGGAATGTGTTGACGTTGCTGTTATTTTTTGCTATTTGGCAAAAGAGGAATAAGAAGAATTAGAATTTAAAAAAAACTGTGTGTTGGCAAAATAGAATACACCTGCAGCCTATTTTTTTTATTAATTTTTTGCAGCCTATTTTAGATTCACTGTCAACTCTAAATTTTTAGAATAGACAAATAGGTGTGTGTATGTGTGTGTGGTGGGAGGTTGCTGGGGTATCTCCTCCAGTCAGTGAGCTGAGTGCATGCTTGTGGGAAGACTGGGTTTCACCCTGAATACCCAGTGTCCTTGAAGCATCTCCAGGAGTACTGTAGGATATGGCTAAAAGGGGAGAGGGTGAGGGGGAGAGAGAGAGAGAGAGAGAGAGAGAGAGAGAGAGAGAGAGAGAGAGAGAGAGAGAGAAGAGAATACGCGGGAATACAGCTGGTTGTGGTAGCTATCTGGGTACTTGGGATGGAAGGTGTGTAATGAGAAAGCACCTGCCACGAGGGAATGGACTGGACTCAAAATGTGGAAACTTCCCCAAGCAGGCGCTGTAGGACATCTCAAACACCAGAACGTGCATCCAAAACACAGCAAAAGTTTGTGTAAGGCCTCTGCTGGAGACAGTCGGGAGCTCAGAACACTTCGGAGCAGGGGGAGAGAATTCGAGGGAAATAGCACAGAGTCTAATGTGTCAGTAGTGCACAAACCAGAACCCTGGAACTGGGATCGGGGTTCTCAGGAATCTAGTGGATGATGGCTCTGAGTCTTGTGGGAGCCACAACAGGAGCGACTGCGCTTAGATGCACAGCCACTTCTCCCCTAGTCGGAAGGAGCCGCGCGCTCCAGCTCAAGGTGGGCACTTGGTAGGGGGTGGGGGGCAGCGGTTCCAGGCGGCGAAAGCGAAATGCTGGTGCATTGTGCGGGGAACGGCAGGCGGAGCCTCCGTGAGACCACGCCCCACGCTCCTGCGCTAGGTGCAGGGGCCCTCATCCCCCACCCAGCGGCGCTAAGCTCCGCGCATCCGCTCGAGACCGCTTCCCCGTCTCCATGGAGACCGCCTCCAAGGAGACGGGATGCGGTCCTCGGGGGCGCCGGCACAGGCTCTCCCCACCCCCACCCCGCGTGTCCTCGTCTTTGTCCTGGCGTTCCTCCCGGCGGCCCGACTCCTCGGACCGCGTCTCAGGTCCGCCCGGGGTCGGGCTGGGAGGGGGAGGAGGTAGAAATGCGGGGGTCGGAGCGCGGGAAGGACGGGGAGTTCCTGGACAGCCCCTGGCGATACCGCGAGCGACGGCCGCCGAGGGGGCAGGGGCGACCCGCTCGGCTGCCACCCGCTCGGCCCCGGGCCGCGCCTTCAGACCGCTCGAGGGGAAGCGCGGGGCGAGGCGGGGCCGGCGCGAGCCCCACCGCCGCCGGCGACACGCGGGCGGGAACCCACGCGAGGCCGCCGCCGGCCGCTCCAGCCGGGGCCCCGCCTTCCTCCGGAGGCTCGGCCGCCGTCATCGCGAGACCTGCGGCGCCGCGGCGGGAGTGCCGCTCGGAGCGAGGCCACGGCGGCTCGCCCATTGGTGGTTCCGCAGCGCCCGCCGATTGGCCCGGAGCGCCGTGGCCCCACCCCCGGGGCCGGCCAATGAGCGGCGGCGGGGGCGTGACGGCGAGGCGGGCGGCGGCAGCGGCGGCGGCGGTGGCGGCGGCGGCGCGGGGTTCATTCCTCGTGCTCTGCGTTGGGCCCCCCAGCCGCGACCGCCGCCCCGCCTCGGCTGCCGTCCGAGCCCCGCCGGGCCTGGCTCCGGGGTCCTCCCCGCACGGTGAGACCGCGCCTCCGGCCCGCCGCCTCCTGGTTCCGCGCCTCTCCCCGGGACCCCCGCCCGGCCCCGCCCGGCCCCGCCCGGCCCCGCCCGGCCCCGCCGCGGTCCTGGGGCACCGGAGGGGCTCGGGCACCCACCGGCCGGGGTGGGCGACCCGGCGGGACTCGGGCAGGTGTCAACACCCCGGGGGGGCCGGTGCGGGGGGGGGGCGGCACGTGCGGGCCGGGGAGGGGGCGGCGGGGGCGGTCGGCGGGGTGGGCAGCACCCCCAGCCCCGCACCCCGCCGCCCGGCCGGGTGACCTTGGCCCCGCAGCCCCCTGGGAGGAGGGCGGGGCTGCCTGGGCGTGCGGGGCCCCAGCGATGCCTGCGTCAGCCGAGGTGAGGGTGGCGGGCGCGCACCCGTCCTCGGAGAGGATGGGGACGGGGCGGGGACTGGGGCCGCCACACCCTGGGGGATGGAGGCCGCAGAGCATGGAGGGTCCTGCGCCTCGGGCCGCCGGGCCCCCCTCCTGGGCACCTGCCCTAGCAGGAGAGGCTCCGTTGGGGTCCAGGACCCGTGAGGGTCAGGGGCTGCCTTTCCTCCGGGATCTGGGGCTGGGAAGTGGTGGAGAAAACGGGGTTTCTCTGCCCAAGTACCTGATGAAGGTCAGCTAGCCCCCTGGACTTCGCCTGCTTTCTACTTCTTGGGGCATCCGTCCAGATCGTGGGCCCTGGGCGGGAGCTTGAGTGGGACAGCCAGGCTGGAGGGTTTCAGAGACCTTCTCGTTGGAGGGGATATTGCACAGAAGAGGCAGGCCTTTCACCCGGCAGGTGGGTGCGTGTGGGTCCTCTCCTCACCGCTTGCACCTGTTAGTGGGAGGGAGCGTGCCCTGGCTCGCCTTTGCACCTTTGACCGGCTGGAGGGAGAAGGAAGTGGAGTCGCCGGCAGGCTGAGCTGCGGAGCTCTCCCCATTGGCCCTGCTAACAGCTCTGAGCTTGCCGCCTGTGTTTTGGGTGTTGGAGTTTCCTCACCGGGTGCCCCACCAGCAGGCCAGGATGGTGTCAGTGAACGTTGTTTTTGGTGGTGGTTATAAAAAGAGGCTAGAAGAGGTACTTAAGCCAGGACTGAGCCCTGAGCTGTGAGCTGGGGTAGAGGGTGGTGGGATGGGTGGCAGGTCACCAGGCTCCACTTTGCATGGACAGACTGCCTTTGTTTTGTTTTGTTTTGTTTTGTTTTGGGGGCCACGCCTAGCGGTCTGAAGGCTTACTCCTGGCTTTCTGCTCAAGGGCTCCTTCGTGCTGGTGCTGGGGAACCATATATGGTGCCAGGGATCAGACTGGGGTCGGCCGTGTGCAAAGCAAGTGTCTTACTCCTCTTCTGTCTCTCCGTTCGGAGGACAGTCTTGGGCCCTTCATCCAGGCTAGAGCCCTTGGCCCCACATGGGGCAGCCTGGAAGAGCTGTGAGCACCGGAGGCAAGAGTCTAGGGTGCTAAGAACTCTGGGCTCTTGGGTAACCGGGGGTTTCTGCCCACGTGCCTTTTTTTCTGGCCCTCCTCTCCACGCCAGAGGTTCTACCAGTCTTTGCGGAGCCCTGCTCGGCATAGGGTCAGCTCCGAGCAGCCCTTTCTTTGTTTTCTTCAAAGGTGTTGCTCTAGGGATAGTACTTGGGATGGGGGACAGTGCCAGTGAAGCAGGGCTTCACATTCGCACGGCAGGCATTTTGCCACTGAACTGAGCTCCTTCCTCCCTCCCTCCCTTTCTCCCTCCCTCCTTCCTCCTTCCCTCCCACCCTCCCTCCTTCCCTCCCACCCTCCCTCCCTCCCTCCCTCCCTCCCTTCTTTCCTTTCTGCTTACTAGACCTTGTGTTGGTAGTTCTCTGTGCCCCAGTTTCCTTGAGAATAGCAGCCAAGGTCCTGACCCAGCTGCCCTGCAGGCCCTTGTCCCCAGTGTCCAGCCTGCCCCATCTGTGACCACAGTCCCTCCCCTAGCCTGTGAGTGAGTGTGTGTGTGTGTGGTGGGGGTGTACCCCGAGTGTCTCATCGGATGTGTATTCTCCATGTTCTTCCTGTTTGGGGGACACAGCAGGCGCCCCGCAGTCACTGGTGTTCTCCCAGCTGGTCTGGGAGTGGGGGAAAGGGGAGCTGGGAGGAGCCAGTGGGCGGAGAGGCCCCTAAGCCCTTGAGCCATTTTCTGAGAAACCCGAATCCCCGGGGCCCAGTCCTCGGCCATCCTGGATGTTCAAGGCTTAACCCGCAGTGCCCCCGAAAGGGCTGTTGCCTCAGAAACCAGGCCTCTGGGGGGTTCTGGAACCCTCCGAGGTTTCTCTGCTTCCCAATCAGCAGACTGAGACCTGGAGATGTGAGGTCATGTCCCCTGGCAGTCTGCGTGTGAGCCAGGACTGCCAGGCCCCAGGGCCAGGCAGTCCCCGAAGTCCCCATGGCTCTCTGTTGCCCTGGCCATGGCTGGCACTGGGGGGCTTCCTGAAGGTGGCCAGGGGGCCTCGTGGACCCCATGAACATGGCTGGAACTCGGCTGCCTTCTCCCACCTCTGACGGGGAACTCGTGTGGATACTAGGCTGGGGTCAGCAGGGCTTTTTGGGGTTCGGGGCCCTACCCTGCCTGTGGTACTGAGGATGGAGCCCCAGCCTTCCACATGCAGAGCAGGTGCTGGGCCCTTTGAGCCGTCCCCCTGGCCCCAGGGACTTTTGTTTATTATATATATATATATATATATATATATATTTTGCTTTTTGGGTCACACCCATTGATGCTCAGAGGTTACTCCTGGCTCCGCACTCAAGAATTATACCTGGGGGTGCTCAAGGAACCATACGGTATGCTGGGAATCGAACCAGGGTCACCCGTGTGCAAGGCAAATGCCCTACCCACTGTGCTATGGCTCAACCCCCTCCCCCCCCAGGGGCTTTTGAAATCCCTCTTCTCCCCACTGTGTTTTTACATCCGGACGGACCTGTGTGGTCAGCGCTCGTGCTTGTGGAGCGGTGGCCAGGCACTAGCTAGGAACTGGCCCCCTTGTGGTCAGCCTCAAGGATGTGGATTGGTGGGGGGAACACGCCGGGTGGGGTAGGGGGTGCCCTTCCTCTTCCTGGTACCCTCAGTATAGAGTGGCTGGCCCCGAAACAACTGGGGCCCTGGGGTTCCTGGAGGGCCGAGTTTCACTTAGGGCTGGCGCTTAGGTTTTCCCTTTTGTTCCTGACTATCCGTATAGCAAACTGAGCACTGCCTGGGCTTGGGCTGGGTGCTCAGCCACAGGGGCCCGAGGGTATGACAGGTTAAGGTGCCCGCCTTGCATACAGCTGACCTGGGCCAAATTTCTGGCACCCCGTATGTCTCCAAAGCCCACCAGGAGTGACCCCTGAGCACAGAGCCAGGGAGAAAGCCTTGGGCACCACTAGGTGTACCCCTGCCTCCCCCCGCCTCCACCCCAGAACAGAACAAAGTACAGTTACTGTTCTTGTAAAAGGGGAACAGAGCAAACCAGTGTTACCAGGGTGGAGAAAGGGGGACCCGCCTCTCTAGGATGGGTTGGTGGCGGGCTGTGTTGTGTTGCCGAAGCAAAGGCCCATGTTAAGGTTTGGATGCGGTGCAGTGTCCCATGGGGCTCCAGAGGGTTGTCAGGAAGAAGGCAGGCAATGGGAACGGGTGTGTGTGTGTGTGTGTGTGTGTGTGTGTGTACATACATGTGTGGACCCCGCAGGTCAGAAGGCAGACAATGGGAACGGTGTGTGTGTGTGTGTGTGTACGTGTGTGGACCCCGCAGGTCTGTGGAGCCCACATGTCCAGCACCCCTCCACAGCAGGGCCAAGCTCCTGGCCACCAGCTGGGATTCCACGGCTGCTCTGGGGCCACCAACCCAGAGATGGGTGGCAGCGGGGAGGCCCCCTAGGGGTCAGGCGGGGCTCTCTGGGCCAGTACCTCCCTGTGCTCTGAGGGCTCATCCCTGCCCTGCCCCTCCCCAGGCCTTTGACCAAGCCTTCTCCCTCCCCCCAGCCTTCCTTCTCTTCCTGATTGGGCTAGCCACTGTCGCTCAAAGGACTCAGATCCCTGTCGCTGGAAAATAGGGACGAAGCTGCGTGCTCACCTTCCCAGCTCAGCTCTTCTTTTCATATCGCTTTCTCCAGTGGCCCCCAAATGCCAGTTTTGGTGGGTGGGGGGGCATGGGGGGAGTGCTCAGGGGCTGTCGCAGGGATCACTCCTAGCAGGGCTCGGAGGAATCGAGCCGGGCTGGCTGTGCAAGGCTTTGCCCGCTGCCCGACCTCTCGGGCCCCCTCCTGCCCTTCCCTTAGTCCCACCGATCTGGTGAAACGCCAGGCCCCTGTGGTCCCCGCCAGCGTCCCCCACCTGCCTCTGCGTGTGTGAGTCTAGAACAGAAGTTGGCAAGGGTTGCAGGGGAGCAGCCAGATGGTAAATATTTAAGACTTCGCAGGCTCTGCCGTCTCTGCCAGCCGCTCCGACGGGGTTCGCTTTTGGCACCCGCCCTCATGGCAGCTCAAGACGAGTGTTGTGACCGGGTAAAGCTTGGTCTCCCCAGAAGGCTGGCGGCAGCCCCACGGTACTTTGTGTCTTTCCAGTGTCTAGGACTACGCAACACTCCTATCCTGTCCTCTCTTTTCTTTTCCTTTTTTTTTTTTCCCCCCATTTGGAGCAGAAACCAAAAACAAACAAAAAAAGGTCAGTGCCCTGTTGGGTGTGCTGTCGCCTTCTGGCCTGTCTCCTCGCCCCTCAGGGTTGCTCATTGAACTTGGTCCACGAGCCTGTGTCGTTAGCAGCGGGGAAGTGGGGGCCAGTGGCCTGGTCAGAGTGAAGTGGGACATTTGGAGCAGGACTCGTCACTGGTGCTGTGACTGCAGGTCGCAGCTTCAGGCTGGTCCTCGGGGAGGGCAGCAGCCCGGGAGGCTCGGCCCCTGTGGGTGGCGCTCGGGCCCTGCCCCAGCTTCTGGCTCCTCGGTCCTGTGGTTATTTCTGGAGGAGGGGACGGTGTTACAGAAGCGCCCTTAGTACTGGTAGCACGAATTCGGTTCTAAAGAACAACTTTCCTCCAAGCACGGGGCAGTTGGGTTCCAGAGAGGCCTAGCCGCAGACTTGGGAGTGAAGAAAGAAAGGGTGTGGCTTCCTGCCCCGGCCCACCCCCACTTGACACAGGAGGGCTTGGGTGGGAGGGTTTGGCTTTCTCTCCTTTTGTCATCTCTGAATGCCCTGACTTTGCGGGTTCCAGCTGTCACCCTCCTCAGTCACCCTCTTTTCTGGTGCTGAGATGGCTCAGCCGCCACACCCCCGCAGGCCAGGCTGCCCTCCCTTTTCCCCTCCCCCCAACTCCCGCCTCTCCTGCCCTCAGGCCTCCTCTAGGAGCTGGGCTAGGAGGCTGCCCGTCTGTATGGTGGGTTCTGAGGTGGGCATCTGTCCTGTGTATAGTCCTGACAGGTCACCAGGAGGGCGAGCTCCGAGGACGTGCTAATGGCAGGGGGCAGGAGGCGGGTGGAAGGTGGAAGCCCCGGGCTTGGGGTGCAGGAAGGCACAGCCTGTGGTAGTTTGGCTGAGCCAGTCGTTGGCTGTCATCAGGGCTAGAACTGGGCTCTGGAGAGGGTCCCGAAGTGCCCCCTTCCTTTGCAGGCTGTCCTTCCTGCCGGTCTCAGGTGGGCTGGACGCGAGGTGTGTGTGTTTGCGCTCTGGACCCCAGAAGCTGCAGCTTGGCGCCTGCTGGCCAGGCCCAGGGCAGCAGGGGTCGGGCTTGGGGGAGATGGGGTGGAGCCTGGAGACCTGGACGCTCTGCGCTCGCCCAGTGAGCCCTGCCCTCCCTGCCCCCCTCTCAGGCTCCTGCTGGTGTCCCCAGAACATGGGAGGCTGCTGAGTGCACACGGCGTGTCCAGCTGAGCGTGGTCAGCCTGTGGCCGGGAGGGCGTCCATGGCTGCAGCCAACAAGGGTGAGCGCCCGTGGGCGGGTGGAGGACGGTGGGGGGAGGGGCACATCGCTGCCTGCAGTGCCTGGTGTGTCTAGTGTGTATATGTGCACATGTGTGTCAGCGTGTGCATGTGTGCATTCGTCCGTCCATCCATCTGTCGTGCGTGTGGGCTTGAGCGAGCTGGTCACCAGTGTCTGCCGCGTGCAGGCCTGGTCCCCTCTGCTGGCTCCTGGGGGTGTGGATCGGGGGTGGGGTCGCCTTCCTCCCTCCGTGCCCTGTTTCTGCCTTCTCATCCCACTGCGGGGGCCGGGTGTGGGGCGTGCACTGAGGGGGCACATCTGCTTGAGGCAGGGAGGCCTGGTGGGAGTCGCGGGCCGGCTCTGGGGATGTGGGAGTGCCAGCCTGGTCCAGGTCTCCGCGGCTGCTCTCAGTGGCTGGGTATGTCCTGGCCCGCCCGGCAGGGGGCCTCTGGAGTGGGCTCTGGGGAGCAGCCAGGGCTGGGGTCATGCTCTTGGGAAGATGGGGTCTCCCTCCACCAGCCTCCACGGCCCTGCCTGTCTGCATCCCCGGCCTTCCTGATCATGGAGAAGCTGAGGCACAGTGCGGGGAAGCTGCTGCCCGGGGCCCGGGGTGCAGTGGCGAAGAAAGGGGGGGGTACCTCGAGGTCAAGGCCTGACAGCAGCCGGTGCCCCTCTTGAGGAGTTGAGCCTTTGTTTCCCACACCCCCAAACAGGTCCCAGGGAGCCTGTGTCTGTCCCTGCTGCCCCCCCCCCCCCAACTCCCATGTGGGCCATCAGGCCAGGCGCTGGCAGGCCTGGAAGGGGAGGGCCCCAGATGGGCACGGGGAGGGGTGCCACTTTGGAGCCCCGTACCTCCTCTCTTGAGGGGTCCCATCAGCTGAGCCTGGAGTCTTCCTCCATCTCAGGGTGGGTCTTCTATGCAAAGGTGACCAGGGGTTGAGGTGGAGGGACCTCGAGTTTGGCGACCCCTCGTGTCCCCTCGAGTGTGGCCTCGCCCTGCAAGGAGCCCCGTGCGGGGTACGCGCTGGATGGCAGCAGGGGTGGTGGGTGGGGAGGCGGTTCCCAGGGCAGGCGCCGTTTCTCTGGAGCCTGTCCCGCTCTCCCTAGGCAGCAAGCCCAGAGTCCGGAGCATCCGCTTTGCGGCGAGCCACGATGCCGAAGGCTCCCAGGGCCACGTCCACTTTGACGAGAAGCTGCACGACTCGGTGGTGATGGTCACCCAGGAGAGTGACCGCAGCTTTCTGGTCAAGGTGTGTGCAGACTCTCCCCCTCCCCCCCCGCCTTCCGCTCCTGGGGCTGGGGGCTGGGGAGGGGGCCACGCCTGGGTGTGCTTAGGAAGGAGTGCGAACGGGGTAAGTTATCGGTGGTGGTGTCACCATCACCCCTGTACGAGCAGTGGGAGGTGACGGTGGCGGCTGTGGTCCCCAGGCCTGCTCTCTGGCTATGTGACCTGGGGCGGGCTGCCTCTTGGCCTCTTCTCTGAAGAGACCATTCCTCCCCAGGGAGTCGTGAGGGGATGAAAGGAAAGACGGGAGGCGGTTCCAGGTGGGGGGCTCAGTGTGCTGGCAGCGGCCTGCTCAGGAGCATTACCACCGGTGTAAGCGCCCACGCCCTCCAGCGGGACCCCGCCAGCTGTGGGGACGGATGTCAAAGCCCATGTCCATCTGGGCGGCCAGAGGCTGAGGGGTGCATGCCCTGTGGAGAGCCCTGGGCTGAGAGGGCCCGACTCTGCCTCTGCCCAACCTCCTAGACTGAAGAGAATGAGCCAGGGTTTCCAAACAGCCCCTCCCCCTCTCTGCCAAATTCGTTCATTTCTCTCAGAAATATGAGAAGACACAGAACAATAGAGACTTTCAAAATGCCCATAGGTCTATGCTCTAGAAATAACCAAGTAGAATTTTTTTTTAAGGGGACCAGAGGGTGGGCGGGTTGTTCACGCAACAATGCTAGGGGTTACTCCTGGCTCTGCACCGAAGGCTCACTCTTGGTGGTACTTAGGGGACCATATGGGATGCCGGGGATCAAACTCTGGTCTGTCTTGTGCAAAGCAAACAACCTTACCTGCTGTACTATCTTTCTGGCCCAAAGGAAAAATATTTTTGATGTGTGTCATTTCAGCTTCTCTTTTTATGGTGGTCGTTGCACAGCATGTAGGACGTTTGCCTTGCATGCGTCTGACCCGGGTTCAATTCCTCTGTCCTTCTCGGAAAGTCTGGCAAGCTACCAAGAGTATCTTGCCCGCACGGCAAAAGCCTAGCAAGCTACCTATGACGTATTCGATATGCAAAAATAGTAACAACAAATCTCACAATGGAGACGTTACTGGCGCCCGCTCGAGCAAATCGATAAAAAACAGGAGGACAGTGCTACAGCTTCGTTTCCCAAATCACAGAGCTGGTATTGCAGTGTACGCACTATTTTTGCTGGCTCCCAAGGCAAGCCCGAGGTTGTACTATCCCCCGCGATTCATGATGAGCCGCCTTGCTGTTCTAGCAGTTTCCCTATTCCTGGTGTCACGATGGCTTCTGTTTTTCGCTGTTATAAATAGAGCAGAGAGGAGTACTCTGGTGCACACCTCTGAGTATTTTTCCCCTGGAAAATTCCTCACGTGGTTCTGCTGGGTCGCAGCGTCATGCTTGGCAGGTGCAGTCAGAAAACTCGGAGAGGGACTGGAGAGAATTCAGGGATGCCGGCGCTCACCCTGCATGCGGCCGGCCCGGTTTCAGTACCTGGCACTGCATGCATGTGGTTTCCCCAAGCACCACTAGGACTGACCCCTGAGCACTGCTGGGTGTGCCCTTCCCCCAGTATATAACTAAAAGAATTGAAAGGAGAAAGGTCCTGGAGAGCTGTGCCGGGCACCAGCCACATGGTCCCCAACTTCGGCGGGGTGACGGGCCTGGAGGCCCTGGTTGGCTGAAGCTCCTCACAGCAGCATCCCCACTGGCCCCCAGGGGCCATCCAGCTCCCGTTCTGGTGGGCAGGCGAGTGTGGCCCCGTGAGCCCGGGCAGGGGGACAGCGCATCCCCTGTGCCTGCTGGCCAGCCTGTGGCACGTACCATTGTTGGAATGTCTGAAGCCAGCAGGTGGGAGAACAGCACTCATCACTTGACTGTGGGGGCTTGTGGGCCCAGGGAGCTTCGGGGCCCCGGTGCCAGGGTCCAGGGTCCAGGGTCCGGGTCTGGGCAGACTGCTGTTCCTGTCATTTTTCCCCAGACTCCCCCCACCCTTCCTCCCTCGTGTGCAGCTTGTGTTAGCTGTGATCTTCACCCGAGCGGATGGTGGAGGGGCAAGCAGGGGACTCCTCAGGCAGCAGTGGCCAGGCCGTCTTGGGAGGTCTGTGCTTCTCCAGCCCCCTGAACCCTAGCTCCTCATCTATTCCTCAGGCCACCGAGGAGCTCTGGGGACACAGGGCATCCGGGACGCGTGTGCTGGCTGAGCCCTGGGGACCGGGGCGCTGGCAGGGCCACAGGAGGGGAGGGGGCAGGCCCTGGGGCAGGCGGTCAGCGAACGTGCCTCCCGGTTGCAGGTCGGTTTCCTGAAGATCCTGCACAAGTACGAGATCACCTTCACACTGCCCCCGGTGCACAGGCTGAGCAGCGACACCCGCCAGGCACCCGTGCCCAGCCTGCACCTCAGGCTCCTCAGCGTCACGCCCTGCCCTGAAGGTGCGCTGCATCCCTGCTCTGAGGCGGGGAGCGGAGAGAGTGCGGGGTTGTGGGGGCTCCTCTCCCACCTCTGTCTTAGGCCTTGCAGCGTGGCAGCCATGGGGGGGTGGGTGGGGGTGGCGTGGAGGCCCTGCCCCAGGCCTCACTCATTGGGCAGGACCCTGGACCTGCCAGGCCCTAAGGAACTAGCTTTGGGCCTCCCACCCTCCGGGATATGGGTGCAGCATCAGCAGTGCTGGGCTTGGAGCCTCAGGCCTCGGGCTGCCTGGCAGAGGCCTGAGGACCAGGGGTTCCCCCCCCCCCCCAACCCTGGGAGAGAGCCGGCCCCTCCAGACCTTAGCCTGAGCTGCTGGAGGCTGCCTTGTCCCAGCCTTCTGCCCACCAGCCCGGCCCCAGGCCGTTCTCCTTGGTGCCTTGGGGTGGGGCAGAGGTCTTGGAGGCCAGGCTGCTGGCCTGGGAGGTAGGGCAGGAGGGTGCTGCCAATCCAGGGGTCTGGGGGAGGCAGAGCACTGAATGCCCCTGGGTGCTGGGGGTGGGAGGCCGCTGACCTTCCCAGGATGCTTTGCCGGGGGGCGGGCAGGAGGACGCTGACCATCGGGGTGCCCCGCAGGCTACAGCGTCAAGTGTGAGTACTCGGCACACAAGGAGGGCGTGCTCAAGGAGGAGATGCTGCTAGCCTGCGAGGGCGGCGTGGGCACCTGCGTGCGCGTGACGGTGCAGGCGCGCGTCATGGGTGAGCCGGGGGGGGGGGGGGGGGGGGCCGCGCGGGTGGGGAGGCGGGGGAGGCTGCTCCCCACTGGAGCCCCACCGTGCAGGGGGCTGACTGCCCGTCCCCCCACCGTCGCCCGCAGACCGCCACCACGGGACGCCCATGCTGCTGGACGGCGTCAAGTGCGTGGGCGCCGAGCTGGAGTACGACTCGGAGCACAGCGACTGGCACGGCTTCGACTGAGGCCCGCCGCCAGCCCCGCGGCCTTAAGCCCCGCCTCACCTCCCGCTGTGGCTTCTGCGCCCCTCCCCAGGGGGCGAGGGCGAGGGTGGGGTGTCCCGGGGGTGGGGGGGGGCTCGCCCTCAGCCTCACACCTCTGCCTTCATTTGTGCCACCTCCTTGCCTCTTCTCGCGTCCCCCGCTCCAGTTGCCTCCGTCTCCTGTCCGCAGAAATGGGTCGAGCCCTCCCCAAGGGGCCGAGAAGGGGCGGGGGCTTCTCCCATTCCCCCGCCCCAAGCCATAGGGCCTCTAGCCAGGGCCCCGCAAGAGGAGGGCGCCGGCGGTGACGCTGTCGCCCCCGTACTTTGCTGCTGCCTCGCTTCGCCCCCCTCCTGCCGCCCCCTCTTCCCCACTGCTGGCCGAGGTGAGTAGGAGAGAGGCACAGGCCCCGGGCCCTACCTCCCAGGTCTGTTACTTGGATTTTCAAGCGATTAGGATAAAACCATAAAGAAATAAAACTTTACGTGGCTACCAGAGGTCAGTGGCATTTTTGTCCTCTGGGCCTCAAGAAAGCCCAGTTCTTGGGCTGGAGCAATAGTATGGCAGGGAGGGCGTTTGCCTTGCATGTGGCCAACCCGGGTTCGATCCCCAGCATCCCATATGGTTCCCTGAGCATCGCCAGGAGTTAATTCCTGAGTGCAAAGCCAGAAGTAACCCCTATGCATTGCTCGGTATGACCCCCCCCCCAAAAAAAAACCCCCCAAAAACCAGTTCTTTGCAGATGGGCCAAGGAATGTTTTGGCCAAGTTTCTTTCATAGGAGGGCACTGTAGCACTGCTCTGTCCTCCTGTTGTTCATCTGTTTGCTCGAGCGGCCACCAGTAACATCTCACAACAAATTGTGAGACTTGTTACTGTGTTTGGCATATCGAATACATCACAGGTAGCTTGCCAGGCTTTGCCGTATGGGCGGGATACTCTCGGTAGCTTGCTGGACTCTTGGAGAGGGGTGGAGGAACTGAACCTGGGTCGGCTGTGTTCAAGGCAAATGCCCTACCCAGTGGGTGGCATATATATATATGGGGGAGATGGGTCATACCCTCGGGTGCTCAGGGATCACTTCTGGGCGGTGCTTAGGGAGTCATATGTGGTGCGGGCATCAAACCCTACCCACTCCAGCTCCAAAGATTTTGGTGGTGGCAGCAGGCCTGGGATTAGCTGTCAGCAGAATCTGGGTGTGGAGGGGCCGTCAGCCCCTAGTGCTGGCCTCATCTGGGAGTTCTGTTTCGGATGTTTGGTCAGGAGACCACTGGGGCTTTTGGGGTCATTTCACAGCCCCACCTGCACAGCTGATTTCTGGGCCACACCCCACGGAGCTCAGACACGCCTTGCAATGACGGGTGGCAGGGACTGAACCAGGGGCTCGCACTTTGCCCTCCAGTCCTTCCACTGTCCACAGTTGGTCCCCACTGGTGAGGTACTAGCAGGCGATGGCTCACCGTGGGTGTAAATGCTTGCTTTATTGTCCTTGAGGGCGCTCTGGTTGGGGGTAAGGTGGGCATCCCCACTGCCCACTGGCTGCAACAGGGTGGAAGTCAGCCCTTGTCATCTGTGGTGGGGCCTCCCCAGATAGCCTCCTTTATCCTAAGGGAAGCCCCCTCCAGCATGTTCCCTCCATATGGGCCTCCACCCCCACTGCCCCTTGGAGTGTGGGCGCCATGTGGGGGAGTGGGAGGGCAAGGCACCTGGCCTCTGTTGTTGCTTGCAGTCATTCCCCGCAACCACCAGGCCGGCTCTGCCTCCCTCCGCCCCTCTCCAAAGCCCACCCCTCCCCTGGTGAGGCTAGGGCTTGCCCTTCTGATGCATTCAGCAGGCCCTGGGGGTCACGGGCTCCCATTCCCCCTCTTTTTTTTTTTGCTTTTTGAGTCACACCTGGAGATGCTCACGGGTTACTCCTGGCTCTGCACTCAGGAGTTACTCCTGGCGGTGCTCAGGAGACCCTATGGGATGCTGGGACTCAAACCCGGGTTGGCAAGGCAAACGCCCTACCTGCTGTGCTACCTCTCCAGCCCCTCCCCCTCTTTCACAGGTTCCCAATGGGTGCGCCCACAAACTTCACCGTCCCCTTCTTTTGTGGGGGTGGGCACACCCAGACATGCTCAGAGTTTACTACGCCTGGCTCTGCACTCGGGAATCACCCCTGGCTGTGCTTGGGGAACCGTATGAGGTGCAGGTGGTGCAAGGCAAGACCCCCCACCCTCTGCTCCACCTCTCAGCATCTCCTTGACCTCAGTCCTCGGCCGGCCGGCCCGACCGTCTCCCGAGAGCCAGGGCCCGGTGCGGGGCGGCGGGAAAGGGGGCTCGGATCGATCGCGTCCCGCGTCCCACCCCCGCCCCCCGCGCCAGGGGGGAGACCCGCCCCGGGCGCGGCTCCCGCGCGCACGCGCGCGCCCGCCTCAGTGGGAAAGGAAGTCGATGGCGGCGCGCACGGAGCGGTTGGTGCTGACGTCCACGGCGGTGACCTTGATCTCCGTGTCCCCGAACTGCATGGCGGCGCGGATCTCGCGGCGGGCGGGGGGCGCGGCCGCGCCGTCGGGGGCGCCGCCGGGCGCGGGCTCCAGCTCGAGGCTGAGCGCGCCGCACTTGCGCACGCCCGGGTCGGTGATGAAGCGCGCGTCCTCGGCGGCGCAGCAGTACAGGTTGATGAGCACGCGCCGCTGGCCGGGCCGCGCAGGGCAGTAGCTGCGCCGCACCTCCTCGCCCAGCGCCACCGACTGCTCGGCCGCCACGAAGCGCTCGAACACGTCGGTGCACCAGCGGCGGCCGTCGCGCACCAGCAGCTTGTCGGGCGGGTGGCGGCCGGCCACGAAGCGGTTGAGCACGCCCACGCCGTAGGTGAGCGGCGAGCGGCGCACGCGCACCACGCCCGGGTCCTGCCCGAAGAGCACGGCGCCCTTGAGGATGGTCAGCCCCACGTCGTGCGGGACCACCACGCGCAGGCCCCGCGGGCCCAGCGCCGAGTGCACCGCGTGCTGCAGCACCGCCGACTCGGCGAAGCCGCCCACCAGGAACAGCAGCTTCACGCCCTGCACCTCGGGCTTCGCCAGCAGCGCCTCTGCGGGAGCAGGGGGGAGGAGGTGGGGGAGGGTCAGGGGCGAGCGCCTGCAGCCCGCCCAGGCCACCAGCTGCTGCTCCTTCTCTTCTCCTAACCGGCCTCGCCCCCGTGACCGGACACTCGCTCTCTCTCTTGCTCCACAAGGGCCAGTCTGCTGCAGGCAAGGTGCTGTGCTCATTACTCCTGGCTCTCTGCTCGGGAGCGATCCCTGGCGGTGCTCAGAGGTCCTTAGGTGAACTCAGGGATACCAGGGTCAGCAGCATGCAAGGCAAGTGCCTTACCTGTTTCCATGCTCTCCTGCTGACACCTGCTCTTTAATCCCTATGAGATGCTCGGGAGTCCATTGCTATCACCCCGCTTTATGAACAGGGAAACAGAGGCGCCAGAGGGAGGCTGATGCCCTCACTACTCGGCCTCTCCCGGGAGTTCCAGAACACGCTGGCTTGCCTTCCAGCAAAGGACTGCGGAAGGGAGTTTGAGCTCCGATCAAAAGGGGGAGTCATCCCAGGGTCGTGTGGCCATGGGCTGGAGAGGGAGGAATGCCGCGAGAGGCTCACCTATGTGCTGGATGATCCCGCTGACTGTGGGCTGGAAGAGCTCGTTCATGGCCTCGCAGGACATCCTGAGCATCCCCTGGGAGGACCACTTCACGAAGTTCACACTGTGTGGGCAAAGGGGACCAGGGACTCGGGGGTCAGGATCGGCCAGTGTGCCTGGGCTCTGACTGTCACCTCTTGGCACCCCTTTCCCGCCCGCTCTTTGAGGGCTTTAGACTGCTCCTGTTCCAGGCATGAGGAACAAGTCTCCTTAGGTCCGCGGCAAAAGAGCCAAGAGCATTGAGTTGTGAGTGTGTGTGTGTGTGTGTGTGTGTGTGTGTGTGTGTGTGTAGTATGTGTGGTGTACAGAGTCTAGCGTATGAGTGTGTGTGTGGATTATGGAGTGTGTGTATGTGTGGTGTATGGAGTGTGTCTGGAGTAGGGAGCATGTGTAGAGTAGGGAGTTTATTGTAGAGTATGGAGCGTGTGTAGAGCTTGTATGGAGCATGTATGGTGTGGAGTGCATGGAGTATATGAGTGTGTGTGGAGTGTGTACAGAGCATGTGTGGAGTATATGAGCGTGTGTGGAGAATGTGTGGAGTGCATGGAGTATATGCGCGTGTGTGGAGCGCATGGAGTATATGAGCGTGTGTGGAGCGTGCATGTATGGAGTGCGTGTGAGAGCGGCCAGGCGCCCCGCCAGCCCCCGGCCCCACCGGCAAGGGCGCACCTGCTCCTGCGCAGCGCCGTCTCCACGTTGTGGCCGCGCTGCTTGCGGTAAAAGTCGATGAAGGAGAAAGGCAGCGAGATGTTGAGCGCCCCGGTGCGGTGTGGCCCTGCCGTGCGCTTGCGGGCCTCGAAGGCGATGGTCAGATCCACCCAGGCGGCCGGCCGTTGCTTCTTGAAGGTGGTGATGAAGTCCTGGCCGAAGATGCGGCCCAGCAGCTCCTCGAAGGCCAGGTCCACGCCCACCGCGCCGTAGGGGCCGCCTGGGGAGGGCCCGAGCCAAGGGAGCGTCAGCGGCGGCGCGGCCACCAGGGGGCGCTAGCGAGCCGGGCTGGCACGGGACGCCCGAGCCGCGGGGCCACTTACCGGACGCCTTGTAGAGCTCCTTGAGGGTGCCGTGGGGCTGCTCCAGCTGGTGCACCGTCAGGTCCACCGTGCCTCCCCCGCAGTCGGCCACCATGTAGCGGTCTCCTGCGGAGCGGCCACACTCAGCTCCAGGCCGCTCCAGGGGCCAAGGAGGAGCTCTAGGCTTTTGATGAACCTCAGGCTAGTGTGCGCGTGTGTGCATGTGTACGCGTCTCTGTGTGTGTGTGAGTGTGTGTGTGTGAGAGAGAGAGAGATCCCAGGGGTTCTGTGCACCCACGGGGACTCAGGGAGACTGTCCAGGAGGAATGGCCTGAAGAATGTGGTGTGGCTGGGG